GTGTGTGTGTGTGTGTGTGTGTGTATGTATGTGTGTGTATATATATATATATATATATATATATATATATATATACACACATAAAATATATATTTAAGGTGGTCAAGTATCAAATAAAATATATTTTCTTCTTTAACAAGTTTGAAAAATTGCATGTTTGTAGTAGTTCAAAGCTAACTAACTTTATTAACATTTCTATTCTATTTTAAAGATGCAGCTAAAATGCACACTGTGCCCTGCAAAGGTTGGCCACTTGAGGCACCACCTGAGGTCACAGCATAAAATGAACAATCCAGAGGAAAGGCAAATTATGCTGCGCTTGGCCAGGGGGCGTGTCCGGCTATTTGACATCAGATGTCCCATGTGCAGCATCAATTACAGGAACATTAAACGGCACATCCAATTTTGCCATTGGGACTGCAAGGTAAGTCTTACCTGAAAATAGCATGCAGCTGGAAAAAATCCTAGGAAACACTGCATTACATTTAATAAAATTAGAAAAATGCCATTACAAAAAGTATAAAGAAAATGCCCCTGAAATCACTTTGAGTCAAATATCACCTCATATTAGGAAGGCTTATTTTTGATGATAATTTTTTATTATTGAGCAGAAAGTGTTCAATTAGGAGGACAAGCACTCCTAATTACAATAAAAAACGTACTCGGTTACTAGCGTAACCTCGGTTCCCTGAGATTCGGGAACGAGTACTGCGTCTTGCTAGACGCATATGGGCAAAAAGCCTTTTTTCATTCACACAGTGAAAGTGCAGGGCTTAAAAAAAACAAACCAATGGCTCAGCAGCGGAGCTGCACGAGCCTATGGCGACGAAGCCCACCAAAGCCCGCCAGAATGGGCGGGGCATCTGGCTATATAAGCGGGCACTCACCACAGGATTCTCGGGTTTACTTTGACTGAAGCGACGACTGAGTCGTGCAGCTACATAGCATGGCAAGCAACGCAGTATTCGTTCCCGTATCTCAGGGAACCGAGGTTACGTTAGTAACTGAGTACGTTCCCTTTCGATACTTCACTCGTACTGTGTCTTGCTAGACGCACATGGGAACAGTCCAATCACGCCGTGCTAATGTAGTGGAACAACTTAAGTTATAACTTCCATAAGCAACCAATGCTTATAGAGAAGTCAACAATAACACAAGGCTAAAATGGGCTGAGGTTTCTAGGTTAATTGTTCCAGCGTATACCCGTAACTTCGACACCCAGGGGTCGAGAGCTAACAGGTGAACAATGCCAGAGAACTTGGGCGTGGTATGGCCAAGGGCTCGCTGTAATGTCTGTTTATGCAGCGCATGCCATTTCAAGCGGAAAGGACCCTGGCATGTAAGGCCGGGACTTCAAGGTTATAAAACCTCGCAAATGTGGACGGCGAGGCCCAGCCGGCCGCCTCACAAATCCCCGCAATGGACATACCACTGGACCATGCCTACGACGAGGCGATGCCTCTAGTCGAGTGAGCCCGTACTCCAATGGGGCATTGGAGGCCCAAGGAAGAGTATGCTAGCGAGATGGCATCTACTATCCATCTTGAGAGTCTTTGCTTCGTAACCAGAAACCCCTTGGTGCGGTTACCGAAGCTGACAAAGAGTTGTTCTGATCGCCTATAGGGAGCGGAACGCTTAATATAGATTCTTAATGCTCTGACAGGGCAGAGCAGAGATATCTCTCTGTCCTCTTCAGTTGGAGGAAGTGCGAAGAGCGTAATGACCTGTGCTCTGAACAGAGTGGAGAGCACTTTAGGTATGTAACCGTGCCTCGGTTTCAGGACGACTTTAGAGTCATTAGGCCCGAATTCCAGGCAGGCAGGGCTAATTGAGAGCGCCTGCCATAATGTCCCGTTCGCTTGAGAGAGGAGATCCCGTCTCAGTGGAACAGGCCAAGGGGCCGCTATCAGTAGCTGAGTCAGCTCTGATAGCCACAGCTGGTTCATCCAAAGGGGGGCTACCAGTAGAACCCAGTGTTTTTGTTCCCTCACTCGCCTGATTACCTGTGGGATCAGAGAGATCAGGGGAAAAGCATAGAGGAGGAGGTTGGGCCAATCGTGGGCCCTGGTCTTTGAGAAATAAATTTGGCAGTGAGAGTTGTCTTCTGAGGCAAATAGGTCTACCTCGGCCTCGCTGAAGATCTCCGAGATTTTCTGAACCGTTTGCGGATGGAGCGTCCACTCTCCTGAGGGGACATTGCTCCTTGATAACATGTCCGCTCCCTGGTTCAATTTGCCCGGTATATGCATTGCCTTTAGCGAGCGCAGGTTGGGTTGAGCCAACTCTAAGAAGCGCTCCACCAGCATGAAGAGGCGCTTTGAAGAGAGGCCCCCCTGGCAATTTATGTAAGACACAACCGACATGTTGTCCGATCGGATTAGCACATGGTGCCCTTTCAGGACTGGCAGGAAGAACTGACAGGCTCGACATACTGCTAGCATTTCCAGGCAGTTTATGTGGAAGCCTTTTTCCGCCTTCGACCAGTGGCACGAAGGTCGGTATGCCCTCGCAACAGCGCCCCCCAACCTGAGTTGGAGGCGTCTGTCGTGACAACTGTCCTTCTATGAGCCATCCCCATGGCCACGCCCTGTGCCATCCAGCGGGATTTCTTCCAGGGGTTCAGGGCTGATTCACAGGCCTGACTCCTTGACGCCATGCATGGGATGGAACCCGTGGTTTCAACCAGCGCTGAAGGGGGGCACCTACGCAGCAGACCTAACTGTAAGGCAAGGCAAGGCAAGGCAAGTTTATTTGTATAGCACATTTCATACACAATGGTAATTCAAAGTGCTTTACATAAAATAAAATAAAAACAATAATCACAACAATAAAACAAGGAATTTAAAACTTTGAAAATTATTAAAAAAGAAATTGATTTAAGAGGTTTAAAATGAATTTAAGAAAACGATTATACATATAATATAGTGCAATCAGTTCGGACATCGCACAGTGCTCATTCAATAAATGCACAGCTAAACAGATGAGTTTTGAGTCTGCATTTAAATGTGACTAATGTTTTAGCACATCTGATCTCTTCTGGAAGCTGATTCCAACTGCGGGTGGCATAATAACTAAAAGCACATTCCCCTTGTTTTGTGTGAACCCTTGGTATTTCTAACTGACTCGATCCTAATGATCTGAGTCGTCTGTTAGGTTTATATTGGAGGTCGCCAGCCTCCGTATGGCCAGAGCTCATTCTGGCGTAACTACAGCTTTCATTTGAGCTGCGTCAAAGATTGTTCCCAGGAACGAGATTCGTTGGCTGGGAAGCAATGAGCTCTTGGCAAAATTGACCCTGAGTCCCAGGCACTCCAGGTGGCTGAGGAGGAGGGCTCTGCGAGATATTAATTCTGCCTCTGACTGGGCCAGGACGAGCCAGTCGTCGAGGTAATTGATAATACGGACTATTGATAAGTCACACCCTCGAAGGCGAATCTCAAGAATGGCCTGTGACGAGGGGCTATCTGGATGTGAAAGTATGCATCCTTCAGGTCCAGGGAAAAGAACCAGTTCTCTCGAGCAAATTTGCATGAGGATCTGTTTCAGTGTAATCATCTCATGCTTATGAATGACCTCCTCATGAGGGCGCGATTCAGGTGTCTGAGATCGAGGATGGGCCGGAGGCCACCATCTCTTTTGGGGACGAGGAAGTAACGGCTGTAAAGGCCTGACTCGCTCTACTGGCAAAAGGAGCTGTGGAAAAGGTTCCTCCAGGGGCTATCTGGATGTGAAAGTATGCATCCTTCAGGTCCAGGGAAAAGAACCAGTTCTCTCGAGCGAATTTGCGCGAGGATCTGTTTCAGTGTAATCATCCTGAACGACCTCCTCATGAGGGCGCGATTCAGGTGTCTGAGATCGAGGATGGGCCGGAGGCCACCTTCTCTTTTGGGGATGAGGAAGTAACGGCTGTAAAGGCCTGACTCGCTCTACTGGCAAAAGGAGCTGTGGAAAAGGTTCCTCCCGCCCAAACTCACCACAGCTGAGTGCAGAACGTGGGCGTCCCTGCTCTGCACTGAGGTGGGGACCACGCCGCTGAAGCGCGGGGGTCTTCGAGCGAATTGGAGTGAATATCCTCGCTTTATTATCCCCATAACCTATTTCGACACCCCGGGGATGGCCTGCCAGGCGTCGGCCCGTGTGACGAGGGGTTGAATTAACTCTGCCCCCGTGCGGCCAGTCACCAGAACACGTACGAGTGATGGTTGTGTTTTATTACTTTTCCCGCTATCACAGCGGTTGAATGCTTAGGCGCATGAAAGGGGTCGTTGTTTGCACAAAACACATTTCCCTCTGTACCCAGAGTTGAACGGGGTGTCAAGAGGTGTAAGAGAGGCTGCTTGAGGGGCGGTCCAGCCATGGCGAGATCTGACCCCATCCTCTTCCTGAGGCGCTGGGTCCAACGCAATCTTGGGTCGGGGGCCCTGGCGCTCAGGAAGAGAGTAGCGTTTGGCCGAGCGAGAGCGAGAGCGTCACCGTGTCTGCTGCACTTTAGCGGGCTGAACAGCGGGAGCGGCAGGTGCTGGCTTCGCAGGCTGCTGAGTCGGCGCAGATTTTGGGTGAGCTGAGGCAGCAGCGGAGCTGGAGCGCTTAGGCAGGAAATAATGCATAGCCTGGGACGATTTCCGTGCCTCCATAAAGCGTTCGTTTTTGGAGGGGCTGGGTGCGGATGATGGTGAGGGGGTGGGGTCATTCTCCGAACCCAACAGCTCCTCTGCATCCGACGCTGCGAATGACATGATGTCATCGAGCAGCTCGTCCCCACTTCCCCTGAATGAGATCAGGTCGCTCGCACCAGCAGAGGGACGCTGATCAGACCAGGAGAAAAGGACGGAAGAATACACTCTCTGCGGCAAGAGCGAGGCACGCAGGATCTGGGCCGGCGTGAGCTCGCTCGTAGCCGATCGCTCCACCCCTTTGCTTTTTCCTCACAGGTCCCTGGGAGGAAAAAAATGGGGGGGGGGGCGGAGTCGCTCTCTGAAAAGAAAGCGATCCGTGAGCGAAGAGAGGCAAGACTAAAGCTCTCGCAATGAGAGCAATTGGCTTCCGTGAGCGTCGCTTCCGCATGGGATTTCCCCAAGCAGGAAACACACTCCCGTGTGGCCAGGGGGGACCCGCACGAACCGCAATAACAGCGCGGCATTTGCAACAACGCAGATGCTCTTTTAGAAGTCGCGGATGGCGGCAGGGGAACTGGACCGGAACTGCTGGAGCGGTGGAGAAGCAGGTCAGCCAAGCTGAGAGGTCCCGATTCCAGCTGCGAAGGCTTGTCAAACGGCAAGCGGCTTCGGATCAGCTTGAAACGTAGTCGTCGCAGCTGAAGGAGAAAAATCTGAGAATCCTGTGGCGAGCACCTGCTTATATAGCCAGATGCCCCGCGGGCTTTGGCGGGCTTCGTCGCCATAGGCTCAAGCAGCTCTGCTGCCGAGCCATTGGTTCATTTTTTAAGCCATGCCGAACCAATGGCCGTGCAGTTTCACTGCGTGAATGAAATAGGCTTCAGTTCAGGAGAAAAAAGGCTTTTATCCCATATGCGTCTAGCAAGATGCAGTACGAGTGAAGTATCGAAAGGGAACTGCTCTTAAACTGGGTGTGTGACAGGTATGGCTGTGGAATGGGGTTTGGCTGAGGAAAAATTCAGTCAAAATATTTTTTTTGCTTTAACCCAGGGGTGTCAAACTCAGTTCCAGAGTTTAGTTCCAATCCTGCTCCAACACACATACCATGTAGTTTTCAAATAAGCCTGAAAGACCTGATTAGTTGGATCAGGTGTTTAATTAGGGTTGGAGCTAAACTCTGCAGGGTTGTGGCCCTCCAGGAATTGAGTTTGACAGCCCTGCATTCGTCATCACTATCCTGTGTAGTCACCATAAAATACAGGGTTTTTTAAAAAAAAATTTAAAAAATCAGCTGCTTGCTTTACTATTGCTGTTAAAAATGAAAGGTGTTACATTTGCCCTGTTGACAGTACGTCATGGTTACAAAACACATTGTTTTTATTGCAGGTTATGACTGATATATAAAAACACAGGGGGAATACATGCCAAAAACTATTTATAGCATGACATATGTATTTATATGTTTGTCATATGTCACTATTTATTTGACATTAACCTGGTGGTCATAGGGGAATGGATATTATTTAATTTTATGTTATTCTGTAAATGTTCGTTTTGTAACGTAATGTGTTATGTAACATGTTTTTGGAAAATACTTAAGCATTTAATAATCTGCAATTAATAAATGGCTTTTATAAACTCTAGTGATGGTCATTAATTAATTATTAGCAAATGGTTTGCGAATATATCATTATGTTGTGACTTTACTTGTTGAGGCTCATCATTATTAATAACAATCCTTCATGCAGAACGTCCAAAAAAAGAAAGAGATTGAGTTTAATTCTCCAAGAATTGCTCCAACTCTGCACAGTTCATGCATTTGTGTAACCGATAGCAGTATTACTACAGTATATAAGAACATCTTAAGGATTTGAGGATACATGCATGATTGATTAGAGCTTTCTGAATGATTATTATATCTGTGTGCTGAAGGAGTAAAAGCCCAGCGGGATGTTTGTGTGTGTGAGACGAGTCTGAACTTCATCAAAACATCAGGAGACTCATTTCTACTGAATCCACAAAAGAAACAAACTAAAGCCCTCAAAAAATCAGCATCTTTCTTTCACTCATCTTCTCCTCCAAACACACAGACTTAATATTCTCTCTCATTCCTTCATCACACTCTCACTCTCAGACTCCTTTCTCCTCCAGTCGGAAAAAATGGAGCTTTTCTTATGTCTCTCATTGATGTCAAACACCTGCCGACACTAATTAAACATCATTCAGCTAATTAATCAATGAATTAACTAGCACTTCACTAAAGCCTGGCTCACACTATAGGATTTTTAGCCCGATTTAGCCCCGATTTCCCCCTCCCAAGAATCGGAGCAAAAATCTTGTCGAGCCCCTCGATCGGTCCCGATGTTCGGCGCGGATTATCTGTTAATGTGAGGCGTTCACCGATCGAATCTTACGCCTCCCGATCTGATCGCACACAAATCGGGGCCGCCCCGATCATATCACAACATGTTTGATATTTAGGATTTAAATCGGGATGATGACGGCTATATGATTACGTCAGTACTTTCACAATAGCCAATGTGCGACCACAAAACAGCTGCTGTACGGCCCCGTTGGATAGTGGAGATGGAGGAAACTGCTTCTTGACGTTTTATAGTGACACGACTGTCTGTATAATGTGTCGGAAACGTATCACAACTGTAAGAAGAAAGAGAAGCACTGGAGTGAAATCGCCTCGGTTTTGAATGTACCGGGGTGAGTGTAGAAAGCTGCTAGCACACTAGCTAACATATGTAAACATCACTGAAATATCAATGACGATCTGCTGCGTGAGATCACGTGAGGTGCTCCCTCTGGCATGATAATCTTAATAATATCTTGTAGTGTGTGATGCGCCACAATGTTAAAATCTTGTAGTGTGTGCATGTTTAGGATTTGAGGCAAGATAATCTGCAAAGATTCTCCTTATGTGTGTGATGCAACCAGATTTCATAATCGGTTAGGATTTTAAAACTCCTGTAGTGTGAGCCCGACTTTAGTGATGGAGAAACAAAGCTCTCAATCAATTGACCTGACCTGTTGAAAAGAGATGGGGTGCGTGAGATCACGTGAGGTGCTCCCTCTGGCATGATAATCTTAATAATATCTTGTAGTGTGTGATGCGCCACAATGTTAAAATCTTGTAGTGTGTGCATGTTTAGGATTTGAGGCAAGATAATCTGCAAAGATTCTCCTTATGTGTGTGATGCAACCAGATTTCATAATCGGTTAGGATTTTAAAACTCCTGTAGTGTGAGCCCGACTTTAGTGATGGAGAAACAAAGCTCTCAATCAATTGACCTGACCTGTTGAAAAGAGATGGGGGGGGGGGTGCCGCTCTTCTCTCGAGAAATATGGCTCAAGTTTGAGAGAATATAGATCAAACGTCTAGATACTCTCTACCCTAGGGGCCTGAACAAAGCGTAAATAATAAAATTCTCTCTCTTCTTCATTTTCTTTGTGTAGTGTCTTAAGGGGTGATCCCGAATAGTCGAAGTTTCGATGCTTCGACAGGAGGAGCCTGATTCGACTACCAATCTCACAGTCGAATATTCGCAGGGTGTTATGATCATGCTATTTTGGCTATATGGGGGTGCTCAAATGTCTGATTTCACATAGAACTACCGGTTTTCTCCCAAAGTTAATATACAGCCTATTAAGATAATGCTGTAAATAAGAATCTGAAAAGAAAGAAGCTTTAAATAAATATTTTAACGTGCGTGAATAAATCCAACCAGTTCCAGTAAGTTTCACTATCTATAATCCATGACCGACAGAGGAGCATCTTGGTGGCAGGGATTTAAAACTTTAATAAGACTCAAACTGACACAGGCAGAGTGAGAGACTAGTAGGGTACAAGTTATTTCAAAACATTTCAGCCAGTTTATATATATATCGTGTATATATCATTTATCTTGTATAAGATGCATTTGGTTGAGCTGCGCTGAAGTAAAGTGCTTCATTGGAGTACTACGGTGATTATCTCTTCAGCGCGCAGCAAATGCCAAATGCATCTTATACGAGATAAATAATAACAACAACGCAGAATATTAATAACTATGACTGGGACTGTCATATACATAACATTGAGAACACTATTATAATAAAAGGCTGTGAATTTTTAGAGTTTATTTGCCATGTTTCTGCACGTTGTTGCATGAAGAACATGTCCACAAAAGGAGTTCATTCAGAGCCGTGCAGACACGTTCATGCATTCGGGGCATTTTGTGCAGATAGCCTATAAGTCGTAATATTAATGTTATGTTGTATAAATAACGAAGCGTATTCTAGGAGATAAATGATGGGTTAAATCCCATTGATTAAAACCTGCTATCAGATGCTTCACTCTACTGGTCATCTTAAGCGCGCGCAGCTCAAAACCGAAATGCAAAACATTAATAACTACTGTCATATACATAACGTTATAATGAGAGCACTATTGTTAAAAATGTTGTGAATTCTTAGGGTTTTGCTGACGTTTAATGTTAACTATATTTTAATCTTATATATTTTAAGTGTCTTTCTTCCTTTAATTCTTTTAACATTGAGAGATCTGTTTGTCTGTGTTTCTTAAGTCTACAACCAACCACCCCCTAAAACTTACCCCTTAGGGACCATAGTACATCTCACACCTAATCATGCTGACCCTAATTAATTAATATTTCTAATCACGAACCACACCCAAACCTAAACCTAAACCTAAGGTCACTACATACTAACAAATTAACCTCCTAACATCTACACCGAACAGCCATACACCTAATGTCTATAGACCTAGGCCACACACCCCTAATTTTTATAAAATTACGGAAATAAAATATAATAATAATATTATAAATAAAAGCTCATATTTATACCGAGCGAGGGTATGGCCCTGGAGTCTTGACAGATCAAGAGGTCAAAGGAAATGATTATAGAAAATGAGGGTAATCATTGGTGACTTTGTTAGTGTTCTTTTAACACCGAGAGATCTGTTGGTCTGGTTTCTTAAATTTACAACCAACCCCCTAAAATTTACCCTTCAGGGATCACGTGTATCTGGCCATGGAACTTCGGAACAATTTGGTTGTGGCACTACATATAACACTATAGAGATGGTGTCTGTTCCCTGAACTAGAAAA